TAGCCTGTCTCCTGGGGTCCCAAGCAAGATTGTTCCCCACAATTTTCTAGCATAGTTTTAAAAGTCGCAAGCAATGAGACTTCCACCACTTTGGTTGGGAACCTGTTCCACTGCCTCATGTTGTACAGGCAAGGAACAAGGGGCATGAAAGTGACTGAAGGATGCACTGTTACGTCTGCATCCCACTGGGAGCAGAGACTACATACGCCTGTGCCATTTGCGACACTATAGTCTCCCACTCGGGGGAGGAGGATGTCTCCAAACACATTCACTTGGCTAGACACAGGACCTGCAAGGTCCCAGCCAGGAGCATGGTTTCTAGCAGTGATTCTGGAGAAGAGCTAAGCAAGTTTTTCCACTTAGCCATTATGCTAATGGGGCACAAAGTGACATGCTCCCCCTGCAATTTCTTCTCCTTTGCAAACCGACAGCATACTCATCCCAAAGGTGCAGTCTCATCCTGTTCCTTTAAAAGGACACAGTAGCACAGCAGAGCGTTTGGGGATGTGCCTTTGCACCGATCCAAAGCATGTACCTGCCTAGTGCTTTTCTTGGCATGGGCATCCTGTCTTCCCACAATGCACAGGGCACAACTGTATGGAGCCATCAGACCCGATCACCGGCCAACCGCCCCGCCCCGTCAGCTCCCTCTGCATGTGAAAATCCACATTTAGAGAAACGTGAGTAGGTGTCTCAAAAGCAGAGAGGAGCCATTGCAGGGGAGCAACTAAACAGCATAGAACAGAACCCAGGCTCTTCCTGGTAAACAGGAGGGACTGCTTCCCAGCCAAGACCTGGCCCATGCAAGGTGAATGACCCAAGTGCTAAATATCCTGTCAGAGATTTAAATCCTCCCCCTCTTTGTACAAAAAATACTAAAGTCTTAAACCAAGTCCTGATGAATGGAAAGCCAAGGGGGCAAGCTATCCTTTCTGGTGGGTGTGTCTGTCTTCTCAACAATTGGTTCTTCCCTGCCCCGAAACTGGCACGTCCTCATATGACAGATACTCTAGACTCTCCCTCGCATTCTCAGTCAGGTTTCTGTAGCCTAGGCCTCAGCATGGCACCACTGCCAGCTTCCCATTTAGTGGTGTACAACTGAGCTTCAACTGCTAAGCCCCAGGAGAGGTGAACATATGTAACTGTACAGGAAGGCACTGGGCATGGGCCACAGTCTTAGTCTAGTAAACTGGTACAGCTGCCCAGAGGAGGGGGAAGCCCTGTACTGGGCCACCCTGAGGTGTAAAAGTCACCTGCAGAGAGCAAGGAGGGCCTTCTCTGTCAGTACATTTGGCTACTAGCCTTGAATGCAACATTTTTCTCTCACAGCCTGTAAAAGGAGAGTCACCATTGGGTGCCGGAAGTGAACTGCCTCGTTATAAAAATAAATACGCAACCGTAATAAAACTGCCTAAGATGCCAGCTCTGAACAGAACACACTTTAGATGAGATTCACCAATGACAAATAAATACACCCAACGAACAACAGCGCTTAAATCAATTCCTTCTTCACTTACCTGCCGAGACCCGGGTTCTGTGTTTCTGCAGTTACAGTTGCTGATATCGCTAGTACATTAGGCAGCAAATGCACTTGGGTCCTGACAGGTAAAAGCCTTTCTTCAGAAGAGAAAACAGCAGCTTTGGATTTGGATTTCCCTTAGCTTTGGATTTCCCTGCCTTTGTCCCTGAAAGGTTTAATATTGCTCAGGCCTTGTACTGCTTGTATTTCAGACCAGAAAAGCTCACAACACAGCACAGTTCAGACCCCTGCCGGCTGGTGACCTTTGCTTTTGCTTTTTTGCCAATGTTTGCCCAGAATTATAGCCTCATTTTCCTGTAGTCCCAGTCACACAATTTATTTTTTGCTTATTTCAGTTTCTACCATCACCACCACTTGGGATTTAATATAACACTAGCCCTTCCCAATACAACTATGGTTTACTTAACCCAAGTAGTGCACTGGACTTGTAAAACTGTCCCCTTCCTTACGAGGCCTTTTCCAAGCGCTGTCTAACTGAGACAGCTTATTCTACCCACTACAGGAGAGAGGCAGTTGGCTGAGCTTTGAGGATCACATTTTCAAAAGCAGCCTCTATAATGGAACCCCAACATTTTCACACTTGCTTTTGCACATATATTCCTCCACACTGAAGTTTGTGCATGCCATTTTTCACACCCAAGTTCATGCAAATTCAAAACCTTGAACTCACATGCATGTGCCAGGTGATGAGGTTTGCACATATAACACACATAATGACCATCCAAGTCTGGTGGTTTGTGCAAAAACTGGAGTGTAGAAAGCTGTGTGAGCAACAATACAGGCATGCAAAATAGGAGGCTGACTTCAAGAGCTGGGGTTGAGCGCTCGATGGCCCACCCTCGAGAAGTATCTGCTTCACCTAAATGTTAGAAATGGGAAATCACAGAAGATATGGGGGGAAAAAAACATGAGGTCACTGAGACCACAACCCAGGGCCAACCACAGCACAGCTCCAGTGCCCTCATACCCAGCAGGTTTCCATCTAGGTGAAACCCTCGAAGGGATTTGCCTGGGTTAATCTTTTCCCTAAGTAAAAGTGCCCCACTGCCAGTGCAAGGAAGGGCAACATCCTGTTCTCAGCTAAGGTCCAGGACTTCCCTTGGGTCTGGCCCACCTCCCCTTTCACAAGGCATTCGGGACCAGCTCAATGAAAGGAGGGGAGTAATGGGAATGCCCTGGTACGGGGATGTGGGGACGGGAATTGAAATAAGCCTAAGCCAGAGCCAACTGCTGTCCTTGGGGCATGATGCGAGTAACCAGGCTGGGGGAGAGCTCTGGCGTTCCTGGCAGCAGAGCAATAGCTATCCCTCTTCATAGGGGGAGCGAATGGAGGATCTGCACAATGTTGGAGTCACTTGTGCCTCCCTTGTCCACGAAGGCACCCACATTCTAGAGTAGATCTTTGCTTTGAGGCACACTGCATGAGTTTCCCCAAATCCTGCGCTTTGACATATTGGGACCACACAGGCTTCACAGCCATCAGGAACGTCTGGTCCTGTGGTGGGTGAAAGACCTACCCATGCAGACTAAAGGGGCTCCGTATTAATTCCGGCAAACAGGAGACTCCTGGTATGTTCCCCTATAACTTGGCCCAGCGTCCTTCCCAACTCCCACAACACGTCTGCAACTATTTCCTCTCACGCATACAGAAACAAAACAAACAAAAGCAAAACCAGACACCCACATGCCCAAAGCAGCGGCAGCAGGGGAATCATGACTCCATTCCATGGTATCAACCCTGCTTTGCTTTTTTACTGAGCAGCTGCTCAAAACAAGCTTTGACAAGAGAACCTTTCCCCAATGCCATAATTGCATTTGGTGGGGCTAAGAATAGGGCATCTGACAGCCTGAATCTCAGTGTCGGGAGCTTAACAGCTTTCAGGGGACAACATCCTCTCCTTTCATTAGACCAGTTATTAATAACCATGCTGCATTCAGGCCTGATGTCTTTCCTTGCTCCTGCCCTCACCTTGCTCAGGTGCCCACACACAGAGCTGGCTTGGGGAATTCACCACTCATGGGACGGGGGAGGGGAAATCCCTGGTTTGCAGCAGAGCTGCATGGTGGGATGCTCCTGAATTTAACATGGAATTGGGGGGTCTATGAGTGCTATGACTGGGGGAAGGGGTTTGAAGGGTTAGTTAAATGGGCGGAGGGGGAGGGGAGAGACTGGATGGCCCC